ACGAGAAAGGTAACGACGCTAACCGCCGAAAAATCAATATGATCATCAACGAATCGCAGTATTACAACGACACCATCTCGTCTATCAAATCCTACCAACGAAAAGCCAAAACCAGCTCGAGTTGGAAGGTGCCATCGGATAACGCCCCGAAGGGGGTGATCTCTTTCGATGACGCAGAAACCGGCGGAATCGATCAACAACACGCCGATCCTCTCGTCATTGACTTAGTCATACGATAAAAACCGTGAAGTCTTGTTTTCTTGAAAGAACTCAAGGAAATCATATAAAACGGAAACGGTTAAACGAAACACCGAACATTTCCTAACTATACGATTCACTTGAGATTTTTTCGTGAAAAATCGTAAAAAATGCGGTTTTAATAAAACCTCGAGTAAATCGTAGAAAACGGCAACGATTAACCGAAACGTCGAACATTGCCAAACTTTACGATTAACTCGAGAAACTTATTTAAAACGGCATCGCATCAGGAAACGATCTCGTCTAAAGTGATAAAACGATTTTATCGCAAAACGGCTCGGAAAGTCCTAAAACGCGATAAAAGCGTACTCGCGACTTTAACGAAGTCCCGCCCAAAGATACGACGACGGTTTAACGATTTACTCACAGAAAGAAGATAAATGTCAAATTTGAAGGTAAATGTCAAGTTTGAGGATAAATAGAAGATTTCCACGGGAAAAAGGAAAGATCAAGATAAATGGAAGATTCTCGATAAACTCGAATCTGGGCGAAATGGAAGGACTAAACTGCCAAAACGAGGGAGTATATAAGATGAAGGCAGAGGACAGAAGCAGGCGACGAATGCTAGACCTAGAATGGCGGCTGTTAGCTTAGGCGAATTTCGGACTTAGGTGTTTAGACTAGCAAGTCGGATCCTTAGAACGTTTTGACGTCTAAGTTCCGCAATTCTCTTATCAATAAAAGCTCTTACGCAAATTCTTTATCTAAATTATGTTCGTCGTTTTTCTATTCATCCATATTCTGTTAATCTTGTTCGTTTCATTGGTTTCCGCGGAGATCCAGGACCTCGGGAGAATTAGGGTTTTCCCTAAGTTTCCATATTTGACGGAAAATTGACAGTGCGAATTTCGGTTCCCACACATAATGTGAAGGTTTAGAAGATTGTCTGTAAAAGAAATTTTGACATGGAATCCAAATAGACCAATATATGATCTTTATTGTGAAAGTAATGTTATGGACAAGAAGTCCAATGGTCTAAGAGATTATATGACAATCAAAAGAGTTTATTCAGTAAGAATATGCTTATAGCAATTATTAAAAAGATAATATGTATGATGAGAACACTTCTCCTAAAGATGATGCTTCAAGGGGGAGAATATGATAATGTGCGTGGTTGTACTCTTTTTTCTTATCATGGTTTTTATCCCATTAGGTTTTTCTGTGTCAAGATTTTAACGAGGCAACAAAGAACACGCAAATGATGGATACCTAAAGAGGAATGTTATCACTTAAGTGACAAAAATCAATCAATCTTCCAATTTATTTTTGAGACTGAGAGTAACGAAGGAGAATGATCAAGATCAATCATACTTTAAGAAGAATCAATATATGAACACATTCCATTCGCAAGACAGAATCAAAGGTCCAAAGTCCTCTAATCAAAGGAGACCTTCTATATGGAATTAAAATATGAACTTGGCGTTCAGAGAAAAATTTTTGGGTCTTCTTTCATCTCTAATTTGAATAAAGTCATTCCATATGATAGAACTTGAGATATGGATATTCTCATGGGACATGTACAAGCTGTCACATAATACCTAACATCTTCTGATATTCAATATATCGCTTGATATTCCCATCGTATCAGAGCTAGACCGGCGCTTAAAGTCATACATGGATATTACAGAGGACAAACCATCATGTATGAGGACAATGCCACATGCATAGCTCAACTTAAGGACGGATACATCAAAGGAGATAGGACGAAACACATCATGCCCAAGTTCTTCTTCACATATGATTTACAGAAAGCCAGCGAGGTCCAAGTACTCCAAATTTGTTCAAGTAATAATTCAGCAGATTTATTTACCAAGTCACTTCCAACTTCAACGTTCAAGAAGCTTACGCATCAGATTGGGATGCGTAGACTGAAAGACCTTGAGGTACAAAACAAGGGGAGTAATATGTGTTGTACTATTTTTCCTTATCCATGGTTTTACCTTGTTTTATCCTTTTGGGTTTTGGGTTTTTCTTGGAAAAGTTTTAATGAGGCAACATCCAAATCTTACAATCTATGTATGGTTATGGCATCCAAAGGGGAGTGTTATAAACCATATTGTGGATTGTCCATAATTAGCTCATAACCAGTTCGTCCAGTCTAGACCTAGGCGGCTGGTCTATCCTTTTTCCCAAAGGCGGCTAGTTTCCCTTTTCCCTTTTCCCTATGAAATTAAGTTTTGTACAATTTTTTTTTTCTTTGTTGGTTTAGGATCTTTATAATTCCCTATATATAAAAGGTACCTTATGTTTACGAATAATACAGAACAACCGATTCCCTCTTTCTCTCTTTGATTCACAACAGAAGGTCTTTTTTCCAAGATAAATGAAATTTGAGATTCAAAATAAACTCAGATGTTGAAGTCCTTTTGAGAAATTCTACAAACTAAAAGCGAATACTTAAAAGATTTAGAGAGAAAAAAAAATGACTCGATATAAATAGCCTTAAAAGGCTTGCTTACTGATTATCTAAAGGAAAATTTCAACTTTAATACAAGTTTGATATTATTTTTCAATTATTTACCGTTAGAAGATAATCATTCTCATAAATACATTCAATTTGTAATAAAATATAAATTAGTTCTATTCAATCATTTATAAATCTTTAAGTATAATTTAGAAAAAAAAATATGTTCATAAACCCAATTCCACACCCTAAATACTAAACCTGGAACAATATTAAGATATTTATGATTGAATATAATTTTGAAAAGTGGTACCAAGTACTTTTAGAGATTGAAAAAAATATGCTTTAACAAAAAGTCTCTCCAAAACTTTTTATAGTGGCTATCTTATGTGGAAACCACATTTGTTTCGAGACACAGCCATATATCGTAATCAATTTGACATAAAATATTTGTCGTAATCAAGTGGTAATGAAGTAGTTCCTTCTTAATGATAGTTGCCCCTGATATATGTTAGGGTCAATTATTTCTATTGCCAGGCTTTAGAATAAAGTTTATAGTTATATTATTCAATAATCTAACTAGGTGATTTTCCCGTGCTCATGCACGGGCATAAATATTTATAAAATAAATATATTATAATAGTTGATTGATATTTACTTTAACTTTTATATTAGTTTATAGTTTTTATGTATAATAATATTAATAATATTCTATTACTTTAGTTATATATAATTTTAGATATATTATATTTAGTTAGTTTATCATTTGGATATATATATATATATATATATATATGGATTCTATATATTTCTCTGAATTCAACTATAATCTTTTTTATTCTAAATATCTTAAACTTTTGATTAATTGTTTTATTTACATTTATGTTGGTTGTTATCTTAGAAATATAAGTATATCTTAGTAAGATTATGTATTTTAATATTTTTTGTGCTTAGAACGAAAAAAAATAAAAACTAAAGTGTCAGATTCTAAATTACATACATAAGTAATAAATTTTCAGAAGCTTATGAAAACATATCAATATTTACAATAATTAAATATTTTATAAATTTTAAATAATTTATGCCTTAGATTGATTGGAGGGTAAACTGAAATTTATTTTAAATAATTTTTAAAATAAAGAATTATAATTTTCTTAAGTATTTTGATTATGGTTATATTAAATTCCACAAACATAAAAACAGAAAATTAAACATCAAAAGAGTTATTAAGAAAACATATAATTTTAACTATTAAAATATAATATATCTACCTCGTTAAATTATATAGTGTTATGATATTTTAAAAGAATTGTAGTTATCTGATCAAAAGATGTTTACCATTAAATTTATTTTTAATTTTGTTTTTAATATCTCTTAAAATATGCAGTAAAAATATGATTGTTTTTGAGAAATTATATTATAGAAGTAAAATATAATTTATATTTTTTGCTGTAATGGTAAGATATAATAATCAAATAAATATACTAATTATAATTTTTTTGTCAATTAAACATATATCAGTTTATGTTACTTAATTATTTTATGTAATCATCTAATAAAATAGATAGATATATACAAAAACTAATTACTTTGAAAATATATATTTTATTGTTTAAATTATTTTTTTAAAGAAAAAATATTTCTTTTTCTTATATCAAGATTATTTGTATGAATTTTTTTTATGAAAATACATTATATACAAATATTTTTTTCATCTAAGAAGATATAGATATAAAGTATAATTACTTAAAAAGTATAATTTATGTTATTTAAAAATATATTTAAGTTAAATATTACTATTTTGTAAACTTTCCTTTTTTTATGAAACCATATTATATATATACTTATTTTTCGTTTTTAATTAGTTTTGTAAATTTTAGAAATATTTCCTTTTTGTTTTATATTGTTATTTGGAAGATTTTAAAAAGGAAATAATAATATTTAAATATATTTTTAATTCATTAGGGGTATCATAGTAATCAACCAGCGTGAGAGTTAACGTGAGCGCGACACCTAAGAAAGCGACTTCTCAAATAATATTATAGAGATTCACAAAGCAAATCACTATTTTTGGACGAGAATACATTTATATTAATTATTACACATCATCAAATTTGCGCGTATTCTATTTATTTATATTTACAGCTAGGTTTTTATACTACTTTGTTATATTTAATGAGCACATACTGTATATTGTGAGAATCACGAATCTGATTTTCTAATTAAAATATGGACTAATTATTATGTGAGAATCACGAATTTGTGGTCCGCTGAACAAATACCACCATGCAGTGCCTATAAAATTGATGATGAATATGTGTCATCAATGATAATGAAAATGGAATCCATAGCAGTTTTTGGGCTAAAACATGGTCCTTCTCCTAACAACTTACGTCCAGCAAACAAACTCTCTTGCTTTCCACTGATGTCGGTTCCCACCAAGCCTCCAAAGTTTGTTCGTTTGAAGGCGAATACTACCATAACTTGTGATGATCAAGAAAGCAATCGCACGTTCAAGGAACTGCAACCTTCTCCATGGACTGATCAGTTCCACGCTGTTTCTGACAATGTCACGGTAAGTTGATATATATATATATATATATACCTTCTGTACATAGATATATAAATATAACCTGATCATGTATATACAGATTAGAGACAACCAAAAAATATATATATTCAAGGGCCAAAAGTAATATAAGCGGAAAATAAAAGTGATCCTGTGACAAAAAAAAAAGAAAAAAAAAAGTGATGTTTAACACGAGAATTTGAACCAATATAACTAGATCACTAGACTATAACCGATTTAAAAAAAAAAAAAACGATCCTGTGACAAAAAAAAAACGAAAAAAAAAGTGATGTTTAACACGGAGAATTTGAACCAATATAACTAGATCACTAGACTATAACCGATTTAAAAAAAAAAAAAAGAAAAAACTCTTTGCCCTTAGGAAAGAAATCTTTTTGCCCTAAGGAAAAGAACATTATATATGTTTTACTTGTAGGAAATGGATGCGCTTAGGAAAGAAATCCATTTACTAAAGTCAAAAGTGAAGAACGCGCTAATGTCTTCCAAAGAGTCGGCAAAGACGAGAATTCTTATGATATATCTATTGGTGAGCCTTGGCCTTGCACATCACTTTGAGGATGAGATCGATGAGACTCTAAAACAAGGGTTCGAAAAGAAAGAGGAGATAATGGATGGTGAAAATGATTTGTACACAGTTTCCATCATCTTCTGGGTTTTCAGAAGATACGGTCACCACATATCTTCCGGTAAAATGAGACTATTAGCTAGATAGGCTTTTGATTCTACTCATAGAAGTGTTTTTTTTGTCTATAACTATTTACGTGTAACAACTTCATCCTTCTGATCTATTAAAATAGAATCGTATTTTTATCTAAAAATAAAAACTCATTGGACCATTTATTAATAAATGTTATTATATTAAGAGAAAAATTATATATGAAGATATTTGAATAAAATATACCATCACACATAAGAATATTCTACTACAACACTATTTATTTTTGAATATTTCCTATTTAACTTTAACCAAATCTTATAAAATCTTTTGATTTTTATTTTTATTTAAAATAATTAGTTAAATTCGTAATTATTACCAAAATATTGTAAATAAATTTATTTAAATTTCAAATAAATAGAATTACTACTGTATAAAATATTATTTTAATTTATAAATATAAAACATAAATTTATAAAAATTTAATTTAATTTTAACGACAATAAATTAAAAAAAAATATATTATTAATTATATGACTTTTAAGTTTAAGGTTAATATTTTATGTTTGTAAATTAAATAAAAGAAATTTAATTTACTTAAAATAAAAAAATCATTAAAATAAATTTTGATCAATTAGAAATATAAAAATAAAACTTCATTCATTTTAATCAGAAAACATTAAAAACTTAACAAAACGGATCAAATAGGTAAGTTATTCTATTTTTATTCTTATATAATTATATTTATTTTAAATATAAATAAAATATTAAAATATAAATAATTTATATATTAATATATGTTGTTTAAAAAAATTATATATTAATATTATCTAATAAGACATATTAAACTGCAATATATTTTATCAAACACCAAATTGCAATATATTTTATCAATTTGTTCCTGAAAATTAAATATAAATAATTATCAAAATGAAATATTTCCACACAGACGCGCGGGTTAAAATCTAATTTTATTTTACAAAAAAAACTTGGTTCGTTTTAATTAATAGATGTATTCAAGAGATTCACAAGGAGCAATGGATATTTCAAAGAATCTCTTGTCGGAGATGTCAAGGGTATGTTGAGCTTGTATGAAGCTGCGCATTTGCGAACAACAAAAGATTATATAATGGACGAAGCATTGATATTTACATCGAGACATCTGGAGTCACTAGCTGCTGATGGGACTCATCTCTCAGTACGTATCCGAAAGGCTCTTAGTCTGCCTCAGCACTGGAACATGGAGATGTTATTCCCAGTGGAATATATCTCATTCTATGAACAAGAAAAAGACCATGATGAGATTCTACTCAAGCTTGCTAAGATCAGTTTCAAGTTAGTACAGCGCCAATACCTTCAAGAACTCAAAATCCTTACAAAGTAAATAATATATCTCCTCATTAGTAGTTTTATATTGATTGAACTACAAGTCCTTTACAGGTTTTATTCTAACCAATATATATCTAACTTTGGATGCAAGATGGTACAAGGAGCTAGAGTTTGCATCTAAGCTGCCACCTTACTTCAGAGACAGAATCGTCGAAAATCATTTCTTTGTGCAAGCGATGTGCTTTGAGCCACAACTATCACGTGGAAGGGTTCTGATGGTTAAGTTCTTCATTGCTTTAGTGCTTCTAGATGACACATTTGACAGATATGCATCTTTTCCTGAGGCTGAAGGCCTCGCTAATAGCTTGGAAAGGTATCAAATGTATAACCTAGAATTTGATATACTCAGAACAATTACTTTTAAAAAATACTTTTATTAGAAATAATTTGAAAAAAACTGTACAACTCTTACTCAATATCAGGTTTATGAGATTACACACACTCGTGTATCTACACTGGCTGATTTCTAACTATCCCTGAGACTCAAGCCAACACACCGGTTGCTTGACCTCTACGTTACACATCCGTAACAACCATAAAACCACGTTTCACTCCTTTACAGCTAGCCTTTCTTCTCTTTCGAAAAACTCTAACTTACTCTTGAAAACTCATGTCTTTTAAATACTTCTCACTACTTGTGATTCTCAAATCTCCAATTTCCTTTATTTGCACCAGCATATCTTCACTTGATATGGCAATCTCAACAACTTTCCTAAACGCTCAAAACCTTAAGCTTACAATCTCCTTCTTTTTGTTTGCATATGTCCTCTCATTCATTGACCTACAAAAACAAACTCGTAGAAACTCATGCTTTTAACATAACTCAGCATCATTCAACTCTGCAAGTTCCAGTCCATCTAGAGCTTTGATAACTGGGGAGAGTTGAAATAGAGACACCCAAATCCACACTCTCGCTATTAAAAGATCGATCCAAAAAAAGGGTTAAGAGAATAGTGTTGATGACTTTGGGATCAAAAGCAAAGGATCTTCCTCCGATAAACATATGATCATCCAACTGCCTAGGTTCGAGATAAGATCCCTAAAAATTATAGGGAAAAAAAGGACTGCATGCAAGATGGTGTCAGTCTATCCTACATGATCGATAAACCTAATAGTTTCCCTAACAATATCATGCACAATACTGATAACACCCTTAACTATAAACCCCCTCAGACAGAGATTTAGATACTTACTACGAGCCTCGTCGTTTTCAAATCATCTCATCGGCGGACCCACCGTAGGTAGTCCATTAGCATAGATGAGACGGGTGTTTTCGAGACGCTACTCATATGAGAGATATGAAACGGGAGCATCAAAATCTTGAGGATTCGCCATTGAAGATTCAAAATGAGTGAGAAGAGAGAATCAGAGAAGGCGTGAGAAAGAGATAAACTGGGATTTCTTTTGATAACCGAGAAAAAGAGAGTGAGAGAGACATTCAAACGTCCTGTCATGTCTATATACTCTCTCATGGCGTGATCAGCACACATGCTCTTCAGTGGTTTGAGAGATATGGTTTCACAGGCCCATCTTGGTTTCTCAAATTTGTGAAACATCATGTGGCCCAAGACACTCGACACGAGTTCAGCACATCTTTGACTTAAGGCCTTTGTAGAAGAAATTGAGAACACTCCCGCAACCAATTTATACTAATGCTTAACACAAAACACATTTAGATATATTAACATAAAAAAAAAAGTACGCAAAGTCAATCACCATGATTCATTTTAACTCTTTTTAGCTACCACTACTACCATAGTGGTGTCAATATTTCAATATGGTACTGCTTTTCTTAGACAATATGCATTCATACCTTTCTCATGTAGTGCCTCTTTTCTACAGTTTATGTGTGTGCCAATCTCCGAGTAACTAGCTGTTGAGTGAAAGAGACAAGTCATCGAAAGATATCATGTTGTTCCAGAAGCTTATTGACTGAGCTTTCTTTTCACAATGCCATGATTAGATACTACCTTTCTCAGCTAAGATGCATTCATACCTTTCTTTTTTTGGTTGGTTTTCTCTTCAACATTAGCAATCACGCTCCGGAATTTCAGCAGTATCTTCAAAACTATGTACTAACTTTATCAAATGATTTTTTTAATCGTATAATGTGGCATTACAAGTAGTAGTGAGTTTCATCCACTAACTCAAAATTTTCTCAGTCCAAACATTGATCATTGTCAGAAGTAGACTGGTGCAACAGCCTATTCCAAAATGAGTGTTTGTCTCTCTAAGACAGATTTTGGCATTACTAAGATATATTGTAGTAGGTTGACATTTTCCACAAGTGAGACATAAGCACTAGTATAGTTATGGGATTTTGACTAATTAGGAGACTAAGACATCTACTCGCTATTGTTCACATATTCCCAATGCCTTTTTCAGATTCTGAAAGGTATTGAAGTCTAAGGGTTTTGTGAATATATCATCTAGTTGTTTTTCCGACGGTACATGTTCAATGATTGTAAGTTTTTCCTAAACTAATCCTCTAACAAAGTGATGCCTAATATCAACATGTTTGGTTCTAGAGTGATGAACAAGATTTGTCTATATGTCTTAAGAAAAAAGTGAGTGTTGATACCATAGTCATCGAGCATATGCCGCATCCAAAGGAGTTGAGTGCAGCAGCTTCCAAGAGCAATGTATCCAGCTTCAGAAGCGGACAGGGATACACATTTTTGTTTTTTAACAATGCCAAGAAACAACATTATTTCCAAGGAAGAAACACCCACCTGATGTGCTTTTCCGATCATCCAAGTATCCGGCCCAATCTGCATCACAAAAACCAGCAAGATTTGTGTTAGTTTCAAGGAATAATTCATCTCATATTTCAGAGCACCTCTAATGTATTTAATAATACCTTTCACCACTTGAAAGCCTGATATCTAACGCACAAACCCACACTTAGACATAAATTAGATCTGCTTGTTGTGAGATACAATAATCTGCCTATCATTTTCCTGTAGAGTTTCTCATCCACCTTTGTGTATTCTTCATCTTTGCTCAGCTTAACAGTAGTGCTCATATGTTTTCGTGCGATCTTGCTTGTCTCCATGTCAAATCGTCTAACAAGATTCTTCGCATATTTAGGAAACAGAGATGCTTCCTTCTGTTTGTTTTACTTGCAAACCAATGAAATAATTAAGCTCTTCGGCCATGTTCATATCAAATTCTTTGGTAATGGTTTTTACAAACATATCAATTAGACTTTGCTTCGTAGCCCCAAAGATAATTTCGTCAACATATATTTGGACGATCAGAATGTCACTTTATTGATTTAATATGAACAGTGTCTTGTCCACATTTCCTCTCTTGAATCCAGCAGAGAGGAGAAACTGAGTGAGTTGTTCATACCATAATTTTGGAGCTTGCTTGAGTCCATACATGGATCTCTTTAGCTTATATACATAATCAAGATGCTGCGGATCTTCAAACCCCTTTAGTTGTGCAATATATACTTCTTCTTGCAAGACTCCATTCAGAAACGCACTATTGGCATCCATCTGATACAACTTGATCCTTAGTTTACATGTAATTCCAAACAACCGTCGAACGGATTCAAGACCATAAACGGATTCAAGTTTGGTCTGAATGTTTCACCAAACTTAATTCCTTCAATTTGAGAGTATTCCTGAGCTTCAAGCCTTGCCTTGTTCCGAACAACATTTCCTTCTTCATCTATCTTGTTCTTGAAGATCCATTTTGTACCCACTACATTCACTTCTTTTGGTTAGGACACTATTCCCACACATCTAGTCTAGCAAACTGCTCAAGCTCCTCATGCATGGAGTTTGTCCAGAACTCATCATCAAAAGCCTCTTTTATGGTCTTGGGCTCAATCATTGAAATAAAACATGCTGGCTTTACTGTCGCTTTGAAGTCAATCTGCTTGTTCATGGTTCTTCTTCCGTCATTCAGATCACCAATGACATTCTCCATGGAATGAATACGTTGAACTTATGTAGACACTGGCTCTTCTTATTTATCTACTTCAACTTCGCCGGACTCATCATGACTTGTATTTTCTGCCTTTGAACCATCATTTGTAGTACCTTGATCCTCTCGTTGAAGTTCAGCGGGTTCCAGCAACAAGCTTTGATTGTCACAAACACCAAATTCACAGCATCTCCTAAGTATAATGTTCTCTTATTGTAAACTCAGTAGGCCATGTTGTTTGTCAAGTACCCAAGGAATATTCCTTCATCACTTCTAGAGTCAAACTTACCAAGCTGATCTTGCTAATGTAGAATAATAGCAAATGCACCCAAAAACAAGAAAATAGCTCAGGTTTGGTGGTTTCCCTTTCCAAAGAACATATGGAGTCATTTTGATTACCGGGCTTACATACACGATTTGATGATGTAACAAGCAGTGAGCTTTAGCCCAAAACCGAGTAGGAACATTGTTACCGTGTAGCATGGCTCTGGCCATTTCCTGAAAATTTTTATTCTTCCTCTATACAACACCATTTTTTAGGAGTATATGGTGCTGAGTATTGATGACCAATTTCTTACTCTTGACAGAATTTGTCAAACACCTCATTTGGAATTCTCCTCCATGATCACTTCTAATCTGACGAATTCTTCCATTTTCTAATTGTAGTTGCAAGGCTAGAGTTTTTTCCTAAGAAACAATACACATGTATAACGAGAATAATCATCAACAAGCACAAAGATGTATCATTTCCCTGTGATACTCTGTTTGGACTGGTCCCATAAGGTCCATGTGCACCAGCTTTAGAAGTAGTTCTGATATCTGGGATCTACTTATGTTGAATTTTCACAAACAAGTTCAGTCGATGTCTCTAGTTTAGGAATCACTCTCACAACACCACTATTCATTATTCTACTTAATCTGTGAGTGTTCATGTGTCCCAACTTTCTATGCCATATATGAAGCTGTGACTTGACGGTTAACATGCACTGATTAGTTGCACTCCACATGTAGCAGATGTTTCCTGAGCTGATCCCTTCAAGCTTCACATGTCCACGCTCGTCCAACGCCTTGCGGTCAACTTTTGTGAAGATAATTGTTAGCCTTCATCACACAATTGACTTATACTTATTAGATTAGCCTTTAGTCGATACATGTTTATCAGTCGTGGTTGTTTAGAGTTCTAAGTGTGACCAAATCCCTGTATATTTCCTTGCTTACCACCACCAAAGGTTACTCTGACACCTTTCATCGGAGCTATCACAGCCAGAATATTATGATTCCAGTCATATGTCGTGAGCATCCGCTGTCAAAATACCAATCATCTGAGTTTCTTCCTTTGTTAGATGTGTAAGCGACATTTGCATATTCAGTGTGTAAATCTTGTTTGTCGTTCACCAGCGGTTTCTTATACAAGGAGTATATATCACTTTTGGAAACACATGATTTACCAAAATTGTGTGTTTTCTAAGAAGCATCTTCTGGTTCTCCATGTTCGCTTAATCTCTTAACGCACTGATAACATGCCTCCTTTCGGTGACCTGATCTTCCACATACCAAACACTTGTCTGCAGCTGAAGCTTTTCGATTGTCAGTCCATTTCCCTTTTTGTGAGATTCTCTTATCCTCATCACTCAATCCTTGTTTCAGACTCACACTTTGTGATGTTCTATTCCTATCTCCACCTAACTTGTCTGTGATTGGCAGTCTCTCCATCTTTAGGATATTTATCTGAGCTTTTAATACTACTTTGTCTTTCAAGAGTCTGAGGTTCTCATTACTAAGTCTTAACAAGCTATCACACAATTCCTGATATTTGTTGTCTCCCATCCTGATTTTAAGGTTGTCTTCTTCAGTTTTTCTGATTTATCCATATCACTCCAAGACCTTAACTTGTATTCGATTTTCAGTATCAGAGAGGTTGGCTGCTTTAATACCAATTAGAACCTAAAACTTGGATATACTCATAACAAGTACTTTAACAAGTACTCTTGTTAATTAAAAATCATTTGAACAATTAAACTTTACAAATCTTGCTTAATCAGGTTAATAAGACTACACACACATATATATCTTGACTGACCAAATTCTAACTATCCTTGAGACTCAAGTCAACACACCCATTGCTTGACCTCTATTTTACACACCCGTAAAAATATTAAAACTACGTTTCCATTTCTTTGCGCAAGCCTTTTCTTCTCTTTCAAAAACCCTAACCTACTTTTGAGAACTTATGTCTTTTAAATATTTCTCACTACTTGTGATTGATCTAAAATCTCCATTTTCCTTTATTTGCGCCAGCATATCTTCGGTTGATATGATAATCTCAACAAGTTTCCTAGACGCAGGGCCGTGCCTGAAGATTTTGGGTCCCCAAGCATATAATTTTTTTGGCCCATTAACAGTGTATTTTGAAAAAATTATAATATATGTACAAACAATGTTGAACCCATGACATTGAGTCTACATATGGAACTACTTACCAGTAGAGCTGTAAGCGTTTTAGTGTGAAATATTGGCCCCTAAAATTAATAAAACAATTTTGGTCCCACGCACATGCTTGACTATCTTCTAGTCAGGCACGGCCCTGCCTAAACGTTCAAAACTATGAGCTTACTTCAAAATTTTAAGTAGACAATGATTATTGTGGTATAATGATGATGAGGATGATGATACTGTACAGGTGGGCTCACGATCATACCATGGATAAACAGCCTGATTATTTGAAATCCGTGTTGAACATTCTGATAAATACTTTTGAAGAGTTTGAAAGAGAACTTGGGCCAGAAGGAAGATCATACAACGTGAGCGCCGCAAAAGAAGTGGTACGTGTACATAAATATGTGTATAAACTACAGTAGAACCTCTATAATATAATAATGTTGGGTTTTGAAATTTTATTAATTATTGAGATATTAGTTTACAAAAAATTTCTTACTTAATTTTTTTTATTTTAAGATATATTTATTTTTGAGAAAAGAAAAATATTTGGTTTTAATGTATAGAAATTATTTAATATTGTTTTGAAATTTGACATATATATTAATTTTATTATATTATTGTTATCATATATATTAATTTTATATTAATATATATTGCATAGAATCTAAATGTAGTTTTAGATATAATATTATTAAATCACATCAAAAATATATTAAATACTAAGAAAATATAAAAAATTCTATTGTGAAAATAAAATAAACAATATAATGATATCTTACTTATATAAAAAAAATAGCTAGGCGGTGGTTAAACATTTTATAGAGAATTTATTGGTTAGGCGGGCAACAAAGCCCATTTTTTAATGCCTAGACCGATTTCTTTTAAAAAATGGCTTAATAAAATCGTTTCGCTCATACCCAATTTGTTGACTATGCCGCCTAGGTGCCGCCTAGATCAATTTTTGGAACTGTATAAAATATATATACATATAAATTTTTAATTTATAATTTTAATAGGACCATATATTTACATAGAATTTTCTAAAAAAAATATTATCTTATTATTTTGTTGATTTTTTTTCCAATTTTGAACTAACCTAAATGGAGACCAGCGAAATTTATTCATTTATAGAATTTATTAGTTTATAAGTATAAATTTATACTGTATATGCATATAATCAAGGGTGATACGCTTAAGAAATAGAACTAGTTTGCCTAACTATTTTTCTCCTTTATACATTACGTGTACTAGTTTGCCTTGGAAAACAACTTTTGAATATAGATAAATGCATGATGCGGCATATTTTTCTGTAATAGTAACAATTTTGATAATTTCAATGTTTTCCTTACTTTTAATGTTACAGAAAAATTATTCTTATGATGTACTTCCTCAGTTTCAACTTATTTTATGTTTTAGTTCTTCATAAATATTAAGAAAACATATAAATTTTGATTTTACCAACGCATAATTTTTTGTAGCTAACAATTTTCTATATTTTTTAACCAATACAATTTTAATAAACACAATTAAGTTTTTTGAAATTTAAAATTTATCATTAATTAGTACATTAAAAATGTAAAATAGTATTCTTTTTTAAACAAATATGTTTTGCTAGAATATGAATTTTTTTGAAATAGAGGGAGTCTGTATTTTATGTGGATATAATGTTACAAAATTTAAGTCTATTTTTTTGTCACCAACATAAACAGATTTGATTAGAACTTATTTACATATAATTTTAAAATATTAAAATAAAGTATAATTATTCAACGATTAAAAAATCTTAAAATAAAGTGTATCCATAATCTATACTATTATTTGCGAAGTGATTTTTCACAACGAAACTCTCACATTAAAAGTTAGAATGGTTAATATCGTTTATACCCTTAATGAATAAAATAAAAAATTACATACAAAATAAAAACGAATTTAAATATTTTGATTAAAAAGTAACTAAAATTAGTAATAAATCATATGAATTATCCAAAATCTAAATAATATATATTTAAATATGATAATTCCTATATATATTGAGTTTTTATCTCAAAGTATATTTTAATAAAAAAATTTAAAATATATAATTACATATTAATCAATTTAACATCTTAGTTTTATATAATTAAAAAGAAAAATATTATTTGTTTTTAAGATTTATTATTAATAGTGAACATAATATACAAAAAAAAAATATGTAAGAATGTTTAAATGAAAATATAAATATTATTGGTTTCAAAAAAGTAAGACATAAATAATTCTTTATCATTATAATCTTTCAATTAGTAAAAAAATATAGTAATAAAATAATTATAAAATGTTTACGCCCACAATCCGAGCAAAACACCTAGTTTAATAATACATGGCCATGTTAACATTGATATGATATGAATTTTTTTAACTTGTACGGGAAGAATTACGTTTATTAAATAGCTAAAGGAAATAATATTATTTGCGAAGTGATTTTTCACAACGAAACTCTCACAATAAAAGATAGAGTGGTTAATATTGTTTATACCTTTAATGAATAAAATATAAATATTACATACAAAATTAATATAAAATATACAAAATAAAAACAAGTTTAAATTATTATAATAGCTAAAGGAAAACATAAGCAAATTTTTGTATCACATAACTCACTTTTTTTGTCAACACATAATTGTCCTTTATTCAAGTTGTCTCTATTATTTTCCTCTAGTACCCGAATATCTTTTTTCGGAGATCATATTATCTTCACCTTTATATCTATATTACTAAAATAGAAGTATACTTATAAAATATCCCTGAATTTTTCTAATTATTTATAATGGTATGCCACTGAAGTTATTAATTACTCTATCTTATAGTATTCTTTTTCTTTTCTCTTTAATTAATGCATTTCCAAAATCAAATTTTAACTTAAAAAATTATGGCAACAATAATTAATGAAAATAATTATTTTCATATATACCTTTCGTAATTAAATACATAAATTATAGAGAAAATGACTAGAATAGACCTAAAATAGTTTTTGTCACAAATATAGACCTTAACAATTAAAATGACCAAATCGCACTTAAATATTTGATTAAATGTACATTTATACCCATTGTCCATTGGGTTAGCTAATCCTAGATATTTTTGTTTAGAGTTGAGGAGTGGAGTTTTGGGAGTAGGGTTTCAAATTTTAAAAAATAAAAAATACATAAAATCAAAATAAAAGGTGATATTTTGGTCATTTTAATTTTCAAGGTCTATTTTGTGATAAAAACTTAAAAATGTGCTATTTGCGAAAATTTCCCTAAATTACATAGAAATTATTTTACTAATTCCTTATACACAATAATTAATTCCAATATTAATTAACCTACCGTTTAGGATTTTTTTTTCTTATTAATTATCTACCTATCTTTAAATAGTTAATGAACAATATTCTTTTCAAAGATATATAATTATATTTTTATTATTTATAAGAAATAACTAAAATAAAAGTCACAAAAGAAACATTTATATAATATATAATACATAGATTAGTATAAATATATTATGTTACGTATATTTTTATATAAATAATAGTTCAAGGTAAATACAGTATAATAAATGTTAAAAAAGTAGAAATATATAGGGGCATATATTTTAAATAGTAGATACAACAATTTAGTTATCCATTATCATAAAATTTTGATCCATAAAATAAAAAACATTTGTGCAGATATACAGGTCATATTTTAAAAATAAGGTTGATACAATTGATAGTTTATAAGATAAAATGAAATTACTCAATATAAACTATAAAATTGTTTGTTTAAAATTTCGTTTTAAACAATTATTTAAATGGGTAAATTTAAAAATATATATTATCACTTATAAAAATATAAAAACAAACACTTGCGGGGATCAAACAACAAACTTTTATGTATTATTCTGTCAAAATTAAACTCATAAGTAATTTGTAACCATTTAATTGATACTTCATTTTCTATTTTACAAATTTCACTCCAAATGTTTTATATATTAAATTTTTTTATATAATTTGAACATCAGGATTTTTTTAGAAATTTTATAACTAATTTATCATTTTTTGTATACCATATTAATTCTTACTTCTCAAGATTTTATGTATCGTTAACTGAAAAATATTTTCAATATATCGTATACATGTTAGATTTGTTTGTATGATACAAAATATTTGTGATATAATAAATTGTTAACACACACAAAAAAAAACTTCATATAATACAATTAAATTTAAAAAAATATCGGTTAGTATAAAAATTAAAAAAATAAAATTAAAACCCGTGCGGTCGCGCGGGTCAAGGTCTAGTTAATCATTATACTCCAAGTTTTTCTCTTCCTATTTGTGCAAAACAAAATTAAATTAAATTAAATAAAATTAAATTACTAGAAGATGAAAAGAGCTAATAAGAGAGCCCAAGAGAAAACACTTTGATTTTTTCAATAATACAAACATTAGCACACACACTTTGGTGACCACACACACACACCAAATATTCCTCGGACATTTTTTTTGTTTGTTTTCGAATGCCTTTGAAGAGAAAAATGAAGATAGCCATTAAAATAAAACTCAAACTTATTTTGAATTTAAATCAATTTAAGGAGAAAAATAATGTAAACCATTAGAGATGCTTTCACTATCTCTCCAAGACAAAGGGCTCATCTTTTTATTATTTTATCATGACTGTCATATGGCTCTGGAATAACTTTTTAGGCAAAAATACTCCTGTTAGTACGAGGAATATTTTTCTATCAAACCTATGACCATAGAACATTAGTCCTGAATCCTGATACCTATTTGTTGTGACTATAGCCATGACAAAAACTTTTAATGCCATAGGCTAAAAAATATTTATATTTATGCAATGTAAGAAGTTGGGAAATAAAATTTTCTAAAACTAGTTTCTTTAGTTTAAAACTTATATAATTTTAATATTTCTTTAAATTTTATCACAAATTTTATTCTATTTTTAGAATTAATAAACAATAGAAAAAAAAGTAAATTATTTCAAGGATATCAATAGTGGTCTATGTTCAAGACTATTTTTATTGAAATAACTAAATTATAACATACAATAGTTTAAATAAAAATAAATGAAGAATTTTAATCTTTCATAGATACAAATATAATTGGAATTAACTGGTTTTAAAACTTGCGTTGTGATTATACACAAACTATGTGATTTTCTCGTGCTTATGCACGGAGATAAATATTTTTAACGTAAATATACTATAATAATTACATTTATTTATTTTTAATTTAAATTAATTTATAATTACATAATTTATATTAATAATATAAAATTAAATATATGATTTTAGATAGGTTATATTTAGTTGGTTTTGTTGTTTTATAGTCGATTTAGTTATCATTTGAATATATTAGATTGCATCTATTTCTATGAATTCATCTATAATATTTTTTACTTTAAATATATTTGAAATTATGATTAATTCCTTTTATTTGTATTTAAGTTGATTTTTGTCTTAGATATGTAAATGTATTTGAGGAAGGCTATGTATAACTTAAGATATATTGTGCTTAAAATAAAATAAAATAAAATAAATTGTTTGATTCCAAATTACATAAATTAATATAACGATAATATTCTAGAGTCTCATGCTTATATATTAAATTTCACAAAAGAGTTAAATTTTAACAGTTGGTTAACATTTTATTTTTATTTTTAAATATGTTTTGAGCCATCCTATAGTTTATATTTATAAATAAATTATTATTATAAAATTATATATTTTGTTGTAGTTAAATCTATGATTTTAAATATAAATTGGATTAGTCTAGCTAATCGCGTTGTGAATATAATGAGTTACATATATTCTTTCAAATTAAAATCGAAGTATAATTACTTTTATTATAATTAAGTAAAATTAAATTAAATTTATTTATCATTTAAATGTGCATGTATTTCATAATATTTATCAAATTTTATGTTTAAAAAATATATATATTAAAAATAAAGTGATGATCAATAGAAACTTACATACATAAATTACTAATACATTTTTGTAAGCTCTTGAACACATATCAATATTTACAATAATTAAAATATTTTATAAGTTCTAAATAATTTTATGTATTACACTTATTAAATGGCAACTGAAATTCAATTTAATTAATATTAAAAATGAAAATTCAGATTTGATTAGGTATTTTGATTATGATTATATTAAGTTTCGCAAACATAAAATTTAAAAGAAAGTTTAATATTAAGAAAACAAATAATTTTAATAATGATAAAATATAGTATATCTATCTTGTTAAAGTATAAAAAGTTATGTTATTTTAAAATATTTTCATATTATTTGATCAAAAGATGTTCTCTGTTATTTTTTAAATTTTTTAAGTATCTCTTAAAAATAAGAAGTTTAACCAAATTGTGTGATTTTATTTTAGAAATCATATTATATAAGTAAAATATAATTTATAGATTTTTTTGCTGTAATTGAAAGATATTATAGTAAACTAAATATATAAAAATAAATAAAAATTTCAGTAATACTAACTATAAACTATTTTAAGTCAATTAAAGATATATTAATTTATGTGACTTAATTATTTTATGTAATCATGTAAGAAAAAAGATAGATAAATAAAAAATATTTCTATTACTTTGAAAGTATATTTTTTTATTTTAAAAAATTATTTTAATAATAAATAATATTTTGTTTTCTAATATGAAGATTATATGTGTGCATTTTGTTTTAAGAAATCACATTATATACAAATATCTATTTTATCTTAGAAAATATATATATAAAATATTTTATTACTTAAAAGTCTATTTTATGTTATTTAAAAATATTTTTAAAAATGAAATATTTCTATTTTGAGAAATTTATTTTTAATGAAATTATATTATATATACATATAATTTCGTTTTGAAATTTTTTTTAACTTTATAAATGTTTAGTTTTTATGATTTATGTTATTTGGAAATTTTTAAAAAAGAAACTAAATAATAAATTCAATAATAGTATTTAAAGATAATATTTTTAGTTTATTAAAGGTATTAATGTAATCAACCATCATGACACTTAATGTGAGCGTGACACATAGGAACTGACTTCGCAAATAATATTATAGGTTTGAGAAATTTATTTTAATGAAATCATATTATATATACATATAATTTAGTTTTGAAATTTGTTTTTTTAACTTTATAAATGTTTACTTTTTTATTATTTCTGTAATTTGGAAATTTTTAAAAAGGAAACTAAATAATAAATTCAATAATAGTATTTAAAGGTAATATTTTTAATTCATTAAGAGTATCAATATAATCAACTATCGTGAGAGTTAACGTGGGTGTGACTATACACAAATAGGTTCTATAAATAATAGTGGTATCTACTAGGTTCATATTAGAAAAACTATCAAATAAAATTACCAATAAACCATATACAATCATATAATTTTTGTCAATATGCCTTTTAAGTTGTACAAGTAAAAATTAATGTCCTAAGCTAATATTTATTTTTTTCCGTGAGTAGGCACATCCTAGGTTGTGATGGACCAAATGTTCTTTATGGGTCAAATTCTATTAGAACCATGTCAGATGTTTTTCCTCGGGCTAGATTCTCTACGAGAGTCAAATGTCTGTCATCAGATTGTTAACTCTATTTAGTATGAGATTTGTTGAGAGAGAAGGCTTCCTAAAAGCAAAAGCATGAGGAGTTAAACCCAAAATTAGGCCAAAATAAACAATATCATACTAAACAAGAGAATTCGACATATGATGACATACATCTAACTCTAGTAGAGCAGCTGATCCAGGGAAGAACATTTGGTACATCTGGTTTGGCGATAGTAAAACATTTAGCCCAGAAAAAAAAAACTGGTCATCATGATAAATTAGTATCAAAGCCCGTAAATGGAAAATTTAGATCTCACATCAGAATATTAATAAAACAAATAAGGCGTTATTTAAGCACTTCCAAATGAAGAGTTCTTGTGGCCGGATTCTTAGTACAATATAAGAACTCATCTCTTAATTTTTAATTAAAAAAGTTAAGAACCGGTTCTTAAATGTCTTATTTAAGAACCGATTTTTAATTTTTTTTAATTAGAAGTTAAGAGACGGGTTTTTATATTCCGCAAAGAACTCCACCGTAAGAACCACTCATTCGAATGGTTTTAGAATCTAACAGTAATCTAACCCAAAAAGAAAATCAGTGCTGATTCTGTTAAGGCGTCAGAAACAAAAGAAAAACACATGGTCCGTGCAATATCGATATACTGTCATATGGCTATGGAATAATTTAAATAAACTCGCAAGATTATATTTCAAGGAAAAGAAAAGTTACGGTATTATCACTATTTTGAAATTATTTTATAAAATAACATTTTGCAATTGTAAACCAGGTCTATATTTTTGAGAATGCAGTTCAAGACACATGTGAAATCCAACTTAGATCTTGCAAAATGGGCCCTAGTTTATCATGTTCCTGGCTTTGAGGAGTACATGGAGGTTGGTGAGATGGAAATCGCAGTGTATGCGACTTTGGCAAGTAGATACATGTCTATGGGAAAGATGACGGCAAAAGAAGCTTACGAGTGGCTAATGTCCAGACCAAAACTCGTCCAATCTGTATGTGTCAAAGGTCGTCTTATGGATGATATAACTGGTTTCCAGGTACATGCGTAAACCATTTGTTTGCATATCGGGTATGCATACTTTCTTGTTAAATATATCTTGCGGACTTACAAATACACTATTTTAATTAGGATGACATTAGTAGAGGATACGTCACGAATGCTGTCAGCTGTTATATGAAGCAATATGGAGTTTCCGAAATTGAAGCTTTTAGGGAGCTTAATAAAATGGTCGGAGAGGCAGATAAGATAATAAATGAAGAGTTCTTGACAATAACTGGTGTGCGACACTGTGTTCTTAAGGCAGCCATTGATCTTGCACGCATGATCCACGTCTGCTACAATGGATATGAAGGTTACACCGATCCCCAAGGAAAAATTAATGAGTACATGACTTCTATGTTCGTGAATCAGATCCGTCTTTGAAGACTTTGGCAAATTTTTTACCTGTTACCTGTATTTTTTTCTTTAATAACGTCATGTGCTTTCTGCTTTGTTTTCACCGTCTACCATTTGATCGATCAGATGGCTTTTAATAAAACACAAAAACATTATGTGTATGTTGTCATCATAATGTTGGCTGCTTTCTTTTAATGAGTTTAAGTAAAATGCTATATTTAGTGCTGAAACTAGTTAATTGACTGATGTCCTTGTGGAGATATCCTAGGTCGACGTGGAGATCGGAAGCGTGGTAAGTTTAGGCCACGTTAGAACCAAAATTAAAGAACCAATCAAATGAATTAGAAAATACCGAGCTGAACAGAATTAATCATAAATATACGAATGGTTACAGCCTTGCCGCCAGAAACTGCTAATCCTTACCAGAAGACATGTAGTGACTGTGAAGGTATTAATCGCTCAAACCGTCTTTGAAGACACTGATGACTGATCCTTATCCAGATATGATGGAAGCTGTGTACAAATCATCTCCCCCATCCGTCATCTCCTCCAGGTCTGGGCATTTCGGATATCGGTTCGGTTCGGATAATTCGATTTTCGGGTAGAGGTTTAGAGAGGATCAATTTACTACTTGACATATTTTTGGTTTGGATAGTTTCGGATTCAGTTCAGTTCGGATAGTAAAATTAGGAGCCAGAAAGTACCCAAAAAAACTCGGTTCTTATTAGGTTCTGATTCAGTTAGTTCGAATAACTAGTGTTAAATATCAGGTATTTTGGGTAGTATACTGAATAATTACGATAATTTGGATAAAGATTTCTAATAATTTAGATTATTTTGGATATTTAGGATAAAAATATGTTGATACTTTCAAATAGTTTGGATACTTTATAAAAATTTAGTTTTTCAGCTATTTTCGGATACTTTTAATAAAATCATAAATTATAAATATATATATATATATATATATATATATATATTAAGGTATATTCTATATATATAGTTAATATTTTTATATATTCGGGTATTTTTTCGGTTCTCGGTTTGATTCCGGTTCAGTTTGGTTATTTCGGATATAGAAATATAGGAACCATTCGAATATTTGAAGGTTTCGGTCTGGTTCAGATTTCGGGTATTTCGGTTCGATTCCAATTCTGTTTTTGGTTCCTGTTTTTTTTTTGCCCAGGTCTAATCTCCTCTATCGTTTCAAAACTGTTAGTATATCACATAGATTACCAGATCTGAGTTGAAAGAAAAGTTAAATTGGATGATTTCATATGATCACATATGCAGACGATATGGAAAGAGGATCTCCGCTTTTGCTTTTGTGGCTTATTGATCGTTCCGTCTAATTGGTGTGGAGAAAGATAACTCACCCATCTTTAAAGTTTGATGTGCGGGTGTTTTTATTTTATTTTTTTAACTTTTCAATGGACTTTGTATATTGGCAACAACACTTTTGTTATTAGAAAACTCATAAAGAATCATGCAATGGTGAATTATACTTTCTCTGGAAAGTATTTTCGAATCACAGAAAAAGCGCATAGTAGCTTGAAGCACCAATCTGTTACCTTTGGATCATCCTTCTTAAGAAACAAAAAATTCTTTTGGTTACTTTATGCGCACATATTTACCGGAAACACACAAATAACTAACCATGTCGTGTCTTAACACAGGCTCTGACATTAAATTTACAGGATAAGCAACAACAACAAGCTTACACAGAGTTGTTTACCATCACTCATATTTGCCCTGTCTTTTTTATTCTAATTATTTTGTATAATATGATATACTCCCTTCGTTTCAAATTATATGCCATTATAGATTAAAATTTTCGTTTCAAAATAAGTGTCGTTTTATGATTTTAATGAAAAATTTATTGATTTTAAAAGTCCTTCTATTTTTTCGTTGGTTGAAAAGTGGTTAGGTGTATAGGAAATTGTGTTTTTTTTTGAAAATATGGAAAATTAATTATTTTTTAATCTGTGTGTAAAATCCTAGAATGAGAATTAAATTGAAATGGAGGGAGTATCAGTTAGGACTGAGCATCTTATCCATTAAATTTGATTCGATTCCTTATTCGTCTCGATTTGATCCGGAAATTTCGGATATTCGTAAACTTTCGAATCGAAGTAAATATTAAAAATCAATATCCATTAAAGTCGAATCAAATCACAATAGTAGAATTTTGGAAAGCGGATATTCGATCCGATCCGAAAATATATAAATACATGTATATCTTGTTTATATTTAAAATTTAAATGTATAAAATTATATAATTATTATTCTAGCATATGATTTGATAAATTTTATTCACATTATTACTTATATAACATATGAAGTAAAAAGAAGAGAAAAAAAATTATGAAAATTATAATTGTTTTCTTAAGTTATTATAGTTGTTAATTTAAACTTTAAAAAATTACAAAATATGTAAATTCACTATTTCTTTTAATTTTTCTTTTATATATCATGCAAAAAATATTTTAAGATTATTTGTATTAATCAGAACGGATGAGATATCCGTAAGTATTCATAAATATCCATAAATATCTATTTATTTTTCAGATATCCATTTTTCCGGATATCTGTATTTTTTCGAAACGAAACAAATATATTCATAACATACAAAATAAATCACAAATACCTTCAAAAAACCGGAATATCCAATCTCTGTACTCCTAATATCAGTTTAAGGCCCAATCTACATTAATGAATAGTATGTACTAACAACATTTATTATCCATACCGAGTCAAATAAACAAATAAGAAAGAAAACCAATCAGTGACTTACACGTCATAACAAATGAATGTGGGGCCAACGTAATGCATCTTTACTTTTCAACGCAAGTGCAGATATGTCCGAGTAATCGGCCAAAAGAACAAAAGAGTTTCAGAAGATTTTCGAAACGATGCCTCTGAGTGCGACAATGGTGGGAGCTTTGCTGGGTCTCGGCACCCAGATGTACTCCAACGCTCTCCGCAAGCTCCCTTACATGCGCCGTAAGTCCACGAAAACAACAACAACCCTAATTGATCAAAATGCGATTCCGGTTATGATTATTTTGGATTAAATATGGGTTTAGATCCGTGGGAGCATGTGGTGGGAATGGGACTGGGTGCTGTGTTCGCGAACCAGCTTGTGAAATGGGATGTGAAGCTTAAGGAAGATCTCGAGGTCATGCTCGATAAGGCTAGAGCTGCTAACGAGCGCCGTTACTTCGGTATGTTTTTTTATTTATATTCTTTTTCTTTGTTTTGTTTTGATGTGTTGTTGATTCGTGTTTGGCAATGGATTCATTAGTGCTGTTACGTCTTTGTTTTTATGGTTTGATTGTCCTTTGTTTAGTTCAAGGTTGAATCTTTTTAGGCTACCTCGTTGCGAATCGGTTAATGGAATTTGAGCAGTCCAGATTGTGTTTTTTTGTTTACAAGCTCTTAGTCTTAATAAGAGTGGAAAGATGGATACTTTTGATTTTTTTTTCCTCGGTTTATGAGTTGGATAGGCTGTAATTTTCAAGTAATACTATTGCAATATGGGATACATCGGAAGCTAGATTTGAATTTGGATGGGATCATTGTTGTCTTATGTAAATGTGTGATTTTCTTAGAGCTGCGTGGAAGTTTATGTTAAGCAATGGAAAAATTTTCTCTAACTCATAACAAAACGTTGGAGATATGTTAAAATTCAAGGACTTTCTTGTTTAGTTTTATGTCAAAATCTCTACTTGTTGCATTGTGTTTCTTGGCTTGTTGGGTTTGAATAGGTTTGCATGCTCTCTTGATATATTGACCTTTGCTTATGTTACTTAGAATATTCAAACTTTTTGTTTTTGTTGTAATGCAGATGAAGATCGGGATTAGTAACTGAGTGATCTTTGGAGTCTTCAGAAAAGAAATATATTTCTCTGAAGTCATCTCAGTGCTTGTTTTCTTTGATCCTCCCTGTGAAAGCTTTTTTCTTCTTCTTAGAGCTGGTTCTTTTGCTTTGGCACTGGAGCTCTTTCAATTCAGTGTTTCTGGTTAATAAACCTAAAGATTTGTATTCTTCAGTCTGAATCTGTTTGTATCTGGCTAATAATTTTGAATGAGAAACTTTTCCATGATTATACTGTTCAAGACTTCTTCTTTTGATCGATTGGAAATTAAAAAAAAAAAAAGAACTCAGGTGTATAACTTGACTAAAGTTGCATAGGAAAGCATTACACTTGGTAGTAATCCCATACATATATTCGAATGCAGAAATTTCAGAACAAATTTCAGGTTTGCAGTTTCATGTCTTCAAAATCAGTTATTACAGCTTCTTATAAGATGGTCTCTTTTGGGGAGAAGTTTTTGTGCAATCTGTGATACAATCTGAATTTTATACAGTGAATTGCAAAAGCGAGGAAGCTTGAGAAGAAAATAATTACTTGAAGCAATATAGCTTAAAAGCCAGCAAACCAAGTATCTGAATCTGTGTTGCTATATCATAGTTCTCAGTTAAACTTCAGTTCTCTACTCCTTGAGCCCCGACCTACTACTATTCTCAACCTTGCTTCTCAGATCATTTTTCCAGAGAATCTTCTTCACATCAACAGTCTCACCATTCTTAAGCTCGGCCTTGTAAATCTTCCCTGAGCCACCACCTCCAATCATGAACTCCTCGCTTAGATTATGAATTGAATCTTTCCTAACCAGAGAGTCTGAGACGATCAAGATTTGGATAGTTTCCTAGCGGGAGGGGGATCTCATCTTCAAACTCATTCTTGGAAGACATCTAATGAGAGAAACGAACTCAAACCACACAAAGGAAGGATCGTACCGTTGAGCTAGAGAGATTAATTCTTGTGAGGTTCATCACAAGGTTAATTAACTGTAACAGTCCATTCTATAACCAGTCTTACTACCACAGTTTCTTACCAGCAACACTAAACATGAATTACTGCATAAGGAACTCAACCAGCCTAAAACATTTGAATCTATTCACACAATTAGGGACTAGTGACTAAAAACAAACACACACATTTTGTCCAACTGTTCCATACAAATGCAGAAAATTACACTGAATCCATAGTGCAGTTTCTAAGTAGCTCAAAGGAAGGGAGGACCAAACCAAAAAACTCAGCCCAAAAGAGAAAAGATCAAGTCTTTCTCTATTACGGATCAAAATTGCAACCGTTCTTGATAGATGTTATGAGCCTTGATGATCTTTCCAATGAACATCTTCCAATGCATCCTACATTTAACTGCTGTCTCAAAGGTTGTCCTTTCTTCCGACAATGAACCTGTTCACACAAAAAACACAATAGGTAAACGTGATGAGCTTCAAATCATAATATCAACCAGCCTTTGTAGCTACAAGCGAGCTACTCATCAGCAGAGAGAAAGTCGCCATATAAACAATGGCATTTTAAATCAATATATTATATATATACATAAATAATTTAAAACAACCAAGCTTTCATAGCTCAGTTGGTTAGAGCACCCGTTTAGTAAGCGGGAGGTCTTGAGTTCAACTCTCAATGAAAGCAAACTTGAGCTCTATTTTTGTTATCCATAGAATTTTGTTTCTTAATAAGTTTAAGAAAACAGCCCAACCTTTTGGAAAGTTTATTTACGCCCAATATTTGGCAAAACAAATGTACACTTCATTTTTCCTGGCTTTGTATCCATCTTTTTACTTTTTACAAGGTAAATCATCTATACATTAATTTATCTCAAACATTTCTTTGTACAAGGAACTATGAATCTGTTTCAAAAATTTACAAAGACAGACTTAGTTCTGTTGGTCAAAGTATTATATTAGATTGTAGAGTTAGTTCGCTGTGAAATGCTCAGTGGCAGAGAAGCTCGAGGAGAAATATTCATTTGTTGATAAGCCAAGGTCCCAAGTCTCCGAGTCAGCCTGCGCTTTTTCAAAGAAGCTTCTCATGGAACTTCACAAGCTCTTTGGCTCTCAAGTGGCATATACTGTGACATGATCGTTATAATCTCCAATCCATGTAAACTTGTGGGGGGAAATGTCACAAAAAAAAATTTAAGTGTATAAATCCTAAAATGGTTAGAACTCAAAAATGGTTCTACGGAATCAAATAGTGTACCCTGAACCAGTATTTGTAGAATAGATATCCACCTAAATCGACTAATGCTACGATAACTAGTATCAAGAGTGTGAGCCACTATGTAGTTTTGGATCCATATATCTTTGCAATTATGTATAATTAAAACAATGTAACTTATTCTTATTGTTATCAAATTTTGAGTCTTCACAGTTTTTACCAATACAAGTATCTTGATCCTTTATGAAAACTGGACACCAATACAATTACATTTGTATCCTCCCCGTGAGTTCTTGCATCTGCATCCACTACAATGACACACCAAACGCTCATTACATTCTTTGACATCTTGAATATAGTCAAAGAAAGAAGATTACAAAATCGGTGAAGGACTTTGTTTTTAAAATCGGCAAGTTAAGATTTATGACATGGTACTTAGGAAGTCTTATTTAACTGGTGAGTGGATTGTCTTCCAGACTTTAAAGACTAATGATAAAAAAATTTCCAGAAGATAATTAGTTACTTTTTAAAGAGTGGTGTCTAAACATATTATTCTAGGATATTATTCGGGATGTAAGTAAAGAAACTTAAAAAAAAATTATTTATTACATATTTTATATTTATGTTAGATGTTTTTAAGTCTTTATGTTTAATTATAAAACTACTTCAATGAAGTCTATATAGGTTGGATATACAAAAGAAAAGAGAATAAAAAACTTGTGAACTTGCACTAAAAACAAAGTTGAGGAAAAGAATGATAAAAAATAATAATGAATATAATATAAGTTAAAACAAAGTTGAACAAAATTGGTTGTTATGTTACAAAACAACCAATGCATGTTTATGAGTTTAGGAGTTCTTTTGCAACTGAGGAAAAAAAATATAGTAGAAAGTTTTCTTATTGCTTCAAGTGTTAAATGATATGAAACTCTGCGAAAAGTACAATCACTTAAAATTTGTGTCAAAAGTGGTCAACTCTAGCATATTTTTATCATGTAATGGAAGTAATTTCATGAAAAAATTGGTGATATAGTTATAAATCAACCACTCAAGACTGAAAGACACATTCAAATACACTTACACATACACCAACTACAAAATGTATACGTTCCTCATACTATATAATTCATACAATTATCAAACTACTTGTTAGTAGCAATTGTGAATGATGCAAGAATTGTACAATTTTTCTTATTGGTCTTTTATACCCTTAATGAATAAAATATATAAATCAGCCAAAAATAAAAACCAATTTAATACTTATTTAATTAGATAAATCATTTAAATTAATAATAATGATAATAATTATCCATAATCTAAATATATATTATAAAAAGATAATTCCTATAAATATATCGTGTATTTATCCGAAAAATATATTTTAATAAAAAAAATTGAAAAACAGAAAACACATAAACAAATATTCATAAAGTAAAAATTTTAATTGTATATAATTCAATAGAGAAAATTGAAAAAAAAATACGTAACTATTTTTAAAATAAAAAATATAATAATATAACATAATGATATATATATTTGTGAAGTTATTTTTCGCCTCTGAACTCACACATTAAATGAAATTTATATTTATATTTATGTTTTATATAGTTAAACTTTAAACATGAATTAATCATATAACATAAAAGATTATTCAAAAAAAAATACGTGTTTGACAAAAATAATTTCATATATATTGTA